GCAGAAATGCCGACCGGGAGGTTTTACAGGGAGCTGTCTCTCTTTTCAGATAGATTCCATTCATTTGGCAGGGCATGCTCAAATTTTGAGGGTTGCTTTTGATTGGTTCTCTTGTCTGACTTTGCACTGCCTCTTGTTTGCTGATCAAATCAGTGTGCATTGCTCTAAGCAACCTGGGTCTGCCATGCCTGGGTGCAAACGGCCAACAGTGCCAAGGCTGGTGGCCATGTTGTCAGACAAGAATGCTTTTCAGTGCTGGAAATTCAACTGTATTTTACTCCTGTGATCAGAAAAGGGCTCTAACATTACAGTATAATGTAAAGCTTGTTTACTAGTGGTGAAAATGCTTTCAGCGTTAAAGTGCTTGATGCTGACAGCCTGAGGAAGCACCTAAAAGAAGTTAACATAACCATAGGCATTAACATGACAGCGTACCTCCTGCCCACCATGTTATTTACGTGCTTTCAAGATGTAATTTAGCTCTGTATTTTGGCCAGCGCCTGTCCAGTAGGCTGCTAGTTTATATGACTTTTCAGCATTATTGCCCAGTCTAAAACATTTCTTAGAAAAGTAATCAAATGTAATAAGTTACATTTCTTTAAAAACATAACTAAAATGGTTACATATTACATTTTAACAGGGTAACTAGTAATCTGTAATCTATTACATTTCAAAAGTAACCTTCCCAACCCTGCCCTTACAATGTCATGCAGAAAAACTGTCCTTTGTGTTACTTGCATGTATCGGAATATTAGCTTTATCTATTTTATTGGTTTCAAACATTCATGTTTTCTCTTTGAAGATAACCAAACTAGTAAATCCCACCCTTTTGTTCTGACTTCTCTCCAAATCCACACCTCCACAACGTAAAATGCATTGCAACGTGTACTCATGCTTACAAATTTCAGGAAAGTAACAAATTCCCCCCAAACAAAACAAAACCGATAATTATATGTACAGCTGAAAAATAGCTAACATGGCATCACTTTCAATAGCTGTACCAATGTGGCTCATAGCCCATAACTAGCCTTAGAAGTCTGGGTTTTTCCATGGGCAAGAAAATGGAGGCCAGCTAACTCCGTTCAAAACACAGGCTTTATTCCATCTTGGCAACAACACCTCTGCATGCAGCCTTTAAAATCCAGTTAGCTGGAAGGCCTGGCCTCTAACAAAGGTCTCTGTTTGCAAACAAAAGCTGCTGTGGGTACCTTCTCCTTTTCTACCATAGCTGCTAGCTTTAGCTATCAAAACAGAGCAGTAACACATCTGCCTGCAGTGCCCTGTGGGAGAGTCTTGGCTCGTGCATTGAGTGAGTGCAAGTAGTAAGTAGGTTTGCAGGCAGGCAGACCATCCAATGGTTTTGCTCAGACCGAGTAAAATTACTGGTCAGGCGTTTTTCAGCCCTGCTGCTGCCACAGGTGACAGATTTTTTACTTCATGTTGTCAGTGCATTTAATGTATTAATTGCCATCAGGATGAAAATAGAAATTCAAGATATGTAACAGAAAATGCTTCTGAAAAGAACCCTACCTTTAAGAAGTATTTGATGTGAATAATTGTATGCAAGATACAGTATGTGATTAAT